CCTCTCCTCCCCCGTTCCCCCATCAAGTTTTGCTGCTCCAATCAGTTCCTTTTTTTTGCTCAACAAGTTTTGCTGCTATTTTGGGGGGTGGGGAAAGAGGCGAGGGTTTTTCAAAAATCAAAAAGGGGGGCCCCTAAGCAGAAAGGATCATATGCTTTAATCACAAAAAGGCATGAATAGACATGCTGAAAAGTTTGGGAACCACTGAGTTATAGAATCATGTTGACTGACTGTCAGGGAAAATTAAATTTAAGTGATTTACTTTAGTATGTTAGAAGTTCTCATAAAAGTTAAATCAGAAGAGGAAAGGATTTTTTCCAGACCTGGGTTTTCTTATACAATGTCATGAATAAACATGACACTTTACATGCACTGAAGACGACAATGTAACTGCTGCAATGAAGTTATAAGCTAACACCCCAATCCTGCAAGATTTATATGCTTAACATGGCACATTTTGAACATTCCAATTATTAGGGCTTAAATTGGGAGGACAGATGGTCCTGAGGCGAAGAGCATCTTAATGCACTATCCCTAGTGAGAATAAACTAGGTTCAAAGGGGGAATCTGACAAAAATGTACAAGTATAAAAGAATCTTAATAAAGAGATTCTGGGGGAATATGGACAACTAAGAAAGGTCACAAAAGCAGCTAGAGGGAAATCAGTGACAGAATCTGCTCAGCATCTCATCTGAGTAGAGAGAAATGCAAATAGTATGGGAAGTAAACAGCAAGAACTGAAAGTACAGTCCCTAAGTCACAACTGATCGTAACTAGAAGAGTTACCCAATGTTGCCCAGGTCGTTCAGTACAGGGGGCTGGTAATGTGGGATGTGAAAGAATGAGGGTTGGGGGATGAGGAGTGGCAGACTAGGTAGAGATAAAAGGGTTAAAAAGAATAGTGACATCACAGTGGGGCTTACTACAGACCACCAAATCAGGAAGAGGAGGTGAGGGAGGCATTTCTGGAACAATAGAAGAACTATTGATAGTATTGTGGAACTTCAATTCTAGCAAAACATTTCCATTAAGTTTCTAAAATGTACTGGTGATGACTTTTTGTTCCAGAAACTGAAGGAAGTAACCAAGGGGGCACCCATTTTAGACTTGATTTTGACCAACAGGGAGACGTCAATAGTCAATGTGAAGATGGAAGGCAATCTGGATGACAGTAACCATGAAATGACAGATTTTGTGAATCTAAGGAAAGAAAGAAGCAGACTAAAAAAGAAGACTAAAAAGAAAGCTGACTGTTAAGGTCCCATGAAAAGAAAATCCAAAAGGGGGGGGGGGCAAAGAGTTCAGAATAGCTGGCAGTTTCTCAAGGAGACTATATTAAAGGCACAACTGCAAACTATTCTGATGTAAAGATCAGACAAGAAAAATGGTAAGAGGCCTATACAGCTCCATTCAGAGCCCCTTAATGACCTGAAAATTAAAAAAGAATCTTACAAGTGGAAGTGTGTACAGAATACTATGGAGAATACAAAAGAATGGCACAAGCATGTAGGAATAAAATCAAAAGTGATAAGACATCTAATGAGTTACACTTAGCAAAGGACCTAAAATACAATAAAAGGTTAAATACATTAAGAGCAAAAGAAAGATGAAGTCTACAAGTCATGTGCACAAAGTGTAGGGAGGTTTGTCTGCCCTCTGTGCTCTCCAGCCAGAGTGAGGAATGCAAGAAACTGGATTTAAGTAATGCTGCATGAAGAAATGGATCCGCATTTTGATCCCATATAATTTAAGTGTCCCATTAAATCTCCCTAAGAATAGAGAAATGCATTAATGAAATTAGATCAGAGTTTTCAAACTTAATTTCACTTGTAACCCTGGTCTGCCAAAAAGAGTTACATGAGCCCTGGAAGGCAGACTAAAGACCAAGTCTCTTCACCCTGGGCGGGGAGGAAGGAGAAACTAAGTCCTGCTCCCCTTGAGTTAAATTTAAGTGTCCCATTAAATCTCCCTAAGAATAGAGAAATGCATTAATGAAATTAGATCAGAGTTTTCAAACTTAATTTCACTTGTAACCCTGGTCTGCCAAAAAGAGTTACATGAGCCCTGGAAGGCAGACTAAAGACCAAGTCTCTTCACCCTGGGCGGGGAGGAAGGAGAAACTAAGTCCTGCTCCCCTTGAGTTAAGCGATCCCTCCCCCCCCCGTCCCCAGACATAGAGCCCCCCTCCCTC